AAAATTAAAGTTTTACCATACACCATCCTTACAACGAAAAATGTGATTTTTTTCCCCTTTCAGGAACATGCAGACATAGCAAAATTTATTTTCTGTTTCAAAAAGAAGCCTTGGGTCATTGAGACACCCACATTTAAAATATTCCCTGCAATTTGAGTTAAAATAGGGGTTAAATTTAAGTAAGAGCAGACTCATTTACAAAGAGGTCACGATATTGACACAATAACATCACAGAGATCAAATAATTGTGATTCCAGCTCTCAAATACACAGGCCTCTGCCTTTGAGACCAAAGAAACATCTCTGTGAACTGTCACCATGGCCTTTCTAAAGGCACCTACTAAAGACAATATCACTGTGCCAGTAACAGAATATTTGATATAAGGACCCAAAAACGGAAGCATAAATGTTTTTTTAAGGCAAAAATTAACAGTCAAATGTTTGTTTTCCTTGGCAAAACATTAACCTAGAAAAGTTTCAAGTCACCCAGAATATTTCATGACACTGAAAACAGGCATATGTACCATTCTAGTCTGGGAGGTTTTATTTTTGAGTTACATTTAGTTAAGCCAGCTTTCAGAGCATTTCACTGAAAAATGTTAATGTTTCAAGTAAAAATAGTGTAAAAAACAAAAAGGAATTGCTCAGATGCAAAATTTTTTGACGATGGGCAATAAATGGGAGGAGGAGGAGCAATAAGTGGTCATTCTGGTCTTTAAAAATATTCTTCATTCCAGAGAAATATTCTTTAAAAAAGAGAGAGGGTATCATCCCTCCTGTGCTTAAAGCCCAAGGGAAAATGCTCCCACTGGTGGCTGCTGGCAGGAAACCAGAAACCACAGTAATTTCCAGCACTTCAGCTTGTGCACAGCCTGCTTCCACCAGGACTCACTGCTGAGCCATCAGCGTGAAAATGGCAAAATGAACTGACAAGTTTTGATGTGCAATGAGCTATTTTTTGCTCAAAGGACAATGCGTTTAGGGGAGATAATTCCTTCCTGCCCTCTCCCCCCAGCTTCGTGGTGCAACTCCAGTAGTGTTTAAAATAATCTCTCCAAGGGGAATGTACTGAACCAGAAGGGGCTCTCCAGCAGAAACAGATTGTAGCCTTAGGATCTGATCAGGAAAAAAACACTGTGCACACACTTTGCTTTTACATTTGTGAGTCATCTAATTGAAGTTAGACCTGTAGAGATGAGTACTTCCAGGATTTGGCCTTTGGCGGTGGTGAGGCAGCTCAGAGTCTGAGTGGAGGTGTTTTTCAGCAGTGCTCTGCTGGCAGCTCATTTTGGTTAGGGTAGATAAATCCAGAGAGTCTGAGCCTCTCCAGGGTGTTCTGGTCCTTGGCTGCTGCTTGGTCCAATGATTTTCTTCTCCAGTTTCAACCCCGCTTTGTGAAGTGACTGCAGCAAATCTTTCTGTGTGTGTTATGTGTGTGGGGTGGAGGAGCCCCAGGTGTGTTCACAGTGCTTTGTCAAGTCCAATGCAGTACATCACAAATCTCTCTCAGGATGTAAGCAAGCTCCTTCTCAAAACTGTGTCAGCCTTTAAGGGTTTTAGCCTAAGCTGCCCTTCTTGGGAGGCTGCTCCAGAGCTGGATCCTCTGAAGGATCAGGATTTTTTTTTTCTGATTCTTATCCTAAATTTGTTTGGGGACAACAATTATCCATCTGTTCCTAAGCCAGCCTTGCCCCTTACCTCAAGTAGCACTTTTACTTCACCGATGGTCCCCTTCAGTTCTCCCCTGTGGCTTTCCTCAAGGTGCATTTAGAGAGTTACTTAGTTGAGGTAGATGTTAGCCCCCATCTCTCTGAGGTGCTGGATTCCCAGAGGAACTCTTGGTTTGTCTCAGTCATGAGCCAAGGTTGGGTTTTGCATCAGGTGCTGTGCTTAAAGTTCTTGAAATAATTTTAGCTGCCACTGCTGAAGTCATTTCACATCTTGTTATTCCTGCTCCAGTTACCTGTGGATCAGGAACAGGGAACACTAATCACTTTAAGACTGCACTTCACAAAAAGCCAGGCAGGCCAGCATTTTACTTCAAACATGACCCTTTTTATAACTTTTTATTTCCCTTCTTTTTTCTCCCTCCCGCTCTCCTAAATGGAAATTACCACTCTGAGAGTCTCGACTTATTGCAGAAATAATTGGGCACGTTGACACATTTTAATAGGACAGATTTCAGTGTCACAGTGCAGATCTGACAGCTTCATCTGGCCTTACATCTCTTTCTGGGCCAGCAGGGCAGTCCATACCATACTGCCACAGTAATTAATCAGCTCAGGGCTTTGTTAGGGTCCCTGTGTGGGTATGAGCTGCACAAAAGGATTTGCTGACTTAGCTTTCTAGCTATAAAGTAACTTGACAGTGCCCATTCCATTCCCAAAACAAATGACTGAAACCCAGAAACAGAAGCAGATTTAGAAGCAGGTGTGCACTACTTCAGGAGAAAAATAAGTGCTGTGGCTGAAATCTGTACAACCACTGAAATTGCTTAATCTTTGCTTTTGACTTATACTTCAGAGCCAGCTAATGAAATCCTTCCGGCTTTTTGAGGTTAGACTGTAGAATTGTGATGGCTTTATTTATTATTTAATACTACTCTTGCCTGCCACAGCCTCATCAAATATTTGAATTGCTTGGGTTTGACTCTTTGTTCGTGTGCCACAGGGCATAAGGAGCAGGGGGCCACCAGCTCCACACCATTTTAATCTGCTCAAACTTTCAGTCAGGTTTGATGGTGAAAAAATCCTGTCTTAATTCAGGTGCACTGCACTGTGCCTAGTGACAGTCACAGGGTGGGGATAACAGCACATGCCCTGGCATGTGTGCTCCCTCCCCTGCATCCCTGATGTTCTTCCTCCTTTCCCCCAGAACTGGGAACTGTTCTTGCACTACCTGAGCTGCTTTAGTGCCAAAATTTTGAAGTCTGTCCTGGGAAAGCGGTGAACACCTGCAATTCCTGTTGAGGACAAGAAGCGAACAAATGCCTGGCATTTCTCTTCCAGGTCACCTCTCAAACAAGTGCTTTCCACAAAACCTTTTTTGCAGTCTTTAGAACCTTTGAAAGCACAATCTCTACCATCAGGTGCTTTCAGTTCCTCTCGTTTTCTTGGTGGTTTCACATTGCAGGGACTCCTAGAAATGGAACAAGGGGAAGGTTGCAATCAGTCCACTTCAGAAGCAGCCAGATATAACCTGGAGCTGTTGCACATAAACCCTTGAGGTTGTTTTTAAGTAAATGGATTGAAAGCTCCAAGGAAAATAGTGTGACTTTCACTTTTTAGCATTCTCTTTAAAGCTAAAGTACCTTTAGTAAAATAAAAAGATGTTCAAACGTAAACCTGCGTCCCATTATTTTGCACAAGCTCTGCCGAAGAAAACTCTACTTGCAGCCTCCTGCTATTCTTCTCCTGATACTGATGGGGTGGAGGGGTGAGGAAATGGCTGTGTGGGGGCTTAGCTGCTCACCACAGCTGGTTACTATCTTTCCTGGTTAAGGAGAGGTAAAAAACAGTACTGAACTTCCCTCTTGGCATCTTCCCTTACAACTTCTTGCTCACAAGTAATACCTAGCTGGTTTAAAGCACTTTGTACTTCCTTAGTGTCTCAGGAGTATTTAACCAAGTTAAAAGCTTACATCCTGAAAAAAAAAAAAAAGTTATGAAAGTATTTTTTTGTGTTCTAAATTCCTGAGCTGTACATGAGGCAGGACTTCTGCTGCCATGTGTAACACACTTGGAGAAGTAAGAGGACCAAAGTGTTTAGGGATGCATGAGCTTCACCTGATGCTGCTGGCCCCAAAAACCCATGAAAAGATGCTGCAGAGCAGGTTTGACCAAACCCTACAGCTCACATTAGCAAAAATTACAGGGCTGTGTAGTTTTCCTGTTCAAGACCTTGTGTGACAAGGTTTGGGTTTTTTGGGGGTTTTTGTTTGTTTTTTTTAATTAAAAGGCCTTAAAGTGCTGTCCTAGGAACTTCTTTAACCTCTGCTATTCCTGTTTATAGAAATGTTGGTGTGAGCTTGATAGCTGTTCAATCCTAACCTTTGCTTCAGCAGCTGACTTTCAGGCACTCTGTTTCTCAAGATTAATACCCTCTTAATAAAAATAACCTTGTGTGCATTGAACTCTGCTTAAATGTGGGTATCTGAAGTTGAAAATGGCTTTGCGAATGTTATGAACGGAATGCATAAAAAAAAATAAAAAAAAAATCCTAAAATAGCATGGAAAATGTTAAAACATTTTCTGCACGTTTGTTTGCACATTAAGAAGGGAGATTTTCAAAGAAGCCAGTGGGCAAATGCTAGGGGCTGTGCTACATAAAACTCTTCTCAAGACAGCCTTTACCACAGCTGAATAAATGATGTGGTGGGTACAGATAGAGGTGGACGCCAATAGGAAGGGAGGGGGAGAAATTCAGGTCTCTAGTGTTGCCTACAAAGGAAAACTTTTCAATGTTGAGAGTGGTAAGGTAAAAAGCAGTTCTTCAGTGAAAGCTTGCAGGTACACAAAGTATAGGTATGCATGTGAGTGATACTGGATTTCAGTTTTGATCACAGGATACAATTTTAATAGGGTTAATTAATTAGTAAATCTAGCAGGTAGATTCAGTAAGAGACCAGTTGCCTTTGGGTCTGTCCCCTGGAGCTGGTCCAGGGGGTTGCTTGTCTTATATTTTGCTACAGCTCTCAAATTCTGGTGAAAAACTAAGTATCCTGGTTAGAAGTTCTCTTCTCAAGAATGAGACTAAACAGAACTTAAAGAACGTGTTAGAAAGGATTGGCTTATGATTCTGAAATGTGAGAGAGGCCAGGAAGAGTGCTAGGAGCTATACAGCTACATATTATAAAATTCTCCAGGTACACGAGAGGCATCCCTGCGGACTCCGAAAGCTGTGTCCTGTGTGTGCTCCGAGTTCACTCCTCAAAGGGGTGGGTTTGTGCTTTGAGCTGAGGGCAAAACACCCTCCCTTGCCTTGTCTGTGTTCTGCCTGCAGTGGCTGAGGAACCCTGGCCCCCAGCATGAGAAGAGGACACTCTTTGGGGACATGGTGTGCTTCCTCTTCATCACCCCGCTGGCCACCGTCTCCGGCTGGCTGTGCCTGCGAGGAGCCGTGGACCACCTGCACTTTAGCAGTAGGCTGGAAGCTGTCGGCCTCATTGCACTCACTGTGGCACTCTTCACTATTTACCTCTTTTGGACCCTGGTAAGTATCAGGGCTTTTATTTAACCCACAGGGAAAAAAAGCGGGGGGAGAGAAAACGGGAAAATCAATGGCATTGCTCCTGCTTGCCTCCTGTGCTGGTAGGTGAAGCCTGCAGGAAACCTCTTGTTTCCACAGCATTCAAGCTCCCTGGAACATCAGAAAGACAGTTTGCTTCGGGGTGAGGATTCTCAGATCCCAAACACCACTGGGGACAGCGGGAGGGAGACAGGGAAGTCGCAGGGAAGAGTTTGGGACAGATGCTACAGGAGGGAGTTTCATCAAATGTGATGTGCAAAGGGTGAAGGCACAGCACACACACACACACACACAAAAGATTTAGGCGAACAAATTGGCTGCCACATTTTATTCTAATGCAACATCTTGCCAGTTTTACAATTCAGAAGTACTGGATGTGGGGGAAGCCCAGGTCTGTGAAAACAGAGCTGCCTTTGCAGTGCAGGTTAAATTGCATCCTGCACCCCAGCACGAGTCACTCGCATGCCAATCCATCCTGAGAGCCACTTGTTCTGTGCCAGGTTGTTGAGCTGAGATAATTTACTGTCCCCAGGGCACTGACAGGGCCCAGCAGAGACCTGAGGAACACAGGGGACAGCTGCCAAAATGGGTGTTTATCCACCCACGGTGTAGCAGTCCACTGAAAAGGCCAGGTTGATGCTGTGTTTGACATTTCACACCTCCTTCTGTGCAGTGGGGAGGGCAGGGTGGGTGCAGAGGGGCAGCAGTGCACTCAGATGGTGCCAGGCTGGTTCTGCTGGGGCAGGAAAAGCCCAGCCTGCCTGCCTGCCCTTTCAGCAGATTTGGACCTGTGTAAGCTGCTGAGGAGGTGGCACTTCTGAAAAACTGCATTGGTGGAGCAAGAAACCCCCTGTGCTGAGGAGAAGGGGATGTGAGGGGAAACACAGAAACACCACACTTCCTCATGGGTGTCTCCGAAAAAGCCATGAAAGGGAACATTGCATTTACACATTTGTGAGCCCTGTCTCACCCACAGAGGGACGCTGGCAGGCAGGAGGGAAAGCTCAGAGTTTTGCCTTTCCAGCCTTGTGCAGTTCACCTCTTTGTTGTTTCTGCTTTTCTGTGAAGCAGCAGCACTCTCCTGAGACAGGCCAGGTACTCCAGCAGAGAGGCCACACTTGTTTTTCCTGCAGTGCTGGGTGTAGATGTGCCTGGCAGGTCTGCAAGCAAATATTGTTCAAATTTCCTTTGGGTACAGCTGCCTTAGAAACCAAAATGCTGAACAATTTACCTAAGAGACTTAATTCACCGTCACCAAAATTGTTGGGAGTGGTAAAAGGCATTTTTTTAGGTGGACTTAATTAGCTATGACACATGGACTTGTCCAGCCTTGCCTATTAAGACTACTGCAGCATCTCAGCTTTGGTGCCTGTCTCTGGGTATTCCATCTGCAGAGCAAGAAGCAAAAATCCCTTCTGTCCACTTTATAAAATTTACCCCTTCCAAAGCACACAGAGAAATGTGCTACTGGCTCTTGGAGAGCATGACAGTGATAGTGAGCCTGATGTAAATGCCTGCCTTGGTTGATTTAATTGAAATTCAGTATCTTTGATGCTCCCTGGGTCGTGGACAGTTGTAATTCTAGTCTGAATTGTGATTTAGGGCAGTAGGAGATGGATGGGCTAAGGAAGCACTGTGTTCACCTGGGAAGGGCGAGGCAGGAAAGCCTTTAGGGGACTGAATCACCAAATGATTGAAGGCAAAACAACCCTCCCTTCAGTTATGGAGGAAAGCCCCAGCTCCCCTTGCAGGAAGGAATGGTCCTACACACACAGAAATGTTGATTTCATCCAATTTTTCAGCAGCACATGCCTTGTCACTTTTGGAAGTGGGAGAACCCTGTCACATAGCTGTGGCTGTGCAGGGAAAAGGTTCAGTGCTGCGGGGTAAATTGCACACAAGATGATACAATATCCCTTTAGGTCCTGGGGAAATTAGGAGAGCTAAAACTTGGTTTTACTTCCAGTAAATCGGCTTTCCTGCTCTGGAGGCAGAAGCTGGCATACAGATTATTTACACACCACAGTTATCCCAGTGAGCAGTGAACTGGAGGGATGCTATTTTTTAGCACCCCAGAAGCTGTTTTATCCCTCCCTCTAAAGCAGACAAGTTGTCCATAAAACACTGCTGCTTTTTACTCTGTTGTTTTTAACACACACCAAAAGAGGTTCTCCCAAGAAGGAAGACCCGGACACAAAAAGGAGGTTGATACTTAAGGAATTCAGGGCCACACTTCATTTTCTCTTGTATACCATGCACACCTGGTTTAACAATGCAGCTCTTACTCCAAAGACCTCACATTCTGCTGCTTGAAAACCCAGCCTGGACTCTCCTGAAGCTGTCACTGCATTTTACAGGGCGTCCACCTTCGCAGGTGTTGGGGTGTTTTTACCCTCCTCAGTACTCCAAGCAATTTCTGCTGCTCCTGCAGTGTCTTTTGAGGAAAGATTTCTCATATTCCTTCATACACACTGCTCCACAGAAGATGAAGGATGCTTTCCTCCATGGGGTGGAGGGGAGGTTGAAAGTTGGGGGAATCAATCGGAGGAGCTGTCTTTGCTTCTAAACTTTACTTCTGAACTGCTTAGTAAACCAAAGCAATATAGGTTTTCCTCAGACAACTGTAAAAATATCTAATAATAAAAGAAAAAAAAGAAAAAAAAGAAAAAAGAAAAGCATTCTCCTCGTAGGAGATCATTGAAAGTTATGTTTCTTTAACTAAAACACCCTTTATGAAGTAAGGATACAGTGGATGGGTCAGCTCCTGCCCACAGCCCAAGGACAAAACAATCATCACTTGGCACATTTCTCTCAAAATTTACATTCTGGTTTTAGATTTTGTTGGTTTTTGTTGTCGTTGTTGTTTTTTTTTAACTGCACATATGCATCCTCTTACACAGCTATAACTCCCACAACGCTTGGCTGCCACTAAAACTTGGTGTAAACTATTTTTCAAAACCAGGAGGCAGAGCTATCTTGCATCTCCACAGCAGTCACTCATTTCTCTTCCACAATAAGGCTGAAATTACCTGATAACAACAACAACAACAACATGAAATTTTCAGAGACAATCTAAATTGAGACACCCACGTTGTCAGCTCATTGCCTCGGTGCAAGCCCAACTTTGATGCATTCAGCAGTAAAATATTACAATGTAGAACACACAACCCTGTGTTCATCTGCCTGCAAACAATTACACTGTCAATTTAGCAACCTGAAGCAAGGCAGGATATCCCAATTTTTTTTTCCCATGTGTGCCAGCCGCTCTTGTGAAAGGCAGAGGCAGGATGTCTGATTTTTCAGGCTGTGGAAAATTGGAATGAGAGATATAATAGGCACAGGCTGCTTTTCTCCTCTGCTGTGGCACCTTGGGACAAAATGGGTCTCTCTCTACAGCAGTTTTCACCCATTTTGTCCCACTGGGAGGTGTTTGGAGCCCCAGATGGCTCCTTGCAGTGCCTGAAGGCAGCTTCAGGAAGGTGTCCCTTCTGTCCCCAGGTGTCCTTCAGGTACCACTGCCGGCTGTACCACGAGTGGCGTCGGAACAATCAGCGGGTGATGCTCCTCATCCCAAAATCTGCCAACATCCCCTCCACCCAGCAGTCCCTGCTGGGCCTGCAGCCCCTCAAAAGGAGCTCCAAGGAGACAATTGTGTGATTTGGGGTGGGGCTGTACACTGAAGGTGTTTCTTTCTCAGACTGGCCGGGGCCGGGGCAGCGTCCGGCACCCAGGAATGTGCAATTTGGATTTATGGACCGACTGCAGAGGGAAAAGTCACAGCCAGAATTCAAGTCATGGATGCTGCAGTCATTTGTGGCATTTGCTAAGCTGCCAAACGTGTTTAGTTAGCAGGGACCCTATGGATTCTGCAAATATGTTAATTCTTGCGTCATAGAGTGATGCAAACTTTTTTTATTTTGTTTAAAGTATTAAACTATGGTAATTAACAATGCAAAACAGGTTTAAAAAGTGCTTTGTTTTTATGATTTCTTGCTCCTACAGTACTGTTTCTTTAGGCAGCTGGACAGTAACCAATATTTCTTTCTGCTTCCTAAAGCACAGCAATGGCATTTCCTCATTTGATTTTATCTGCAGGTCCATTATACCAATGTTTTGATTATTAAAATTTGTGTGTAATGAGCTCTAGAAATTGGCACATTATTTAAATGCTACAAAGTGATTAGAAAATCCTATTACCCATTTCTTATTTGGCAGAGAAGGCCTGACAGGAAGATTCTTCAGTTATGAATCTAGCAGCCACAAGAAAAATTTAAAAATTAGACAAATTGCAGCAATCTTCCTATCAAAAGTATTATAGTACACAGCACTCAGGAAAAAAAAGAAAAAAATGTACTTTTCCATGAAGAAGCACCACATTCTTCAGTGAGGTGCACATTCTGCTGCTGTGAATTCAAACTTGGCCAATTTATCCTGCATTTACACCAGGCTGAATTTAACTCAACAGCTTACTTTTGTATAGGGAAAGCTCTGCATACATAATGAATGAGATCATCAGATAAGTTTTAGGAAGCAGGGACTCATCTTGCATGAAGAACAGCATTATTTTAAAGCAGCAGAAACTCCAGCTTGACAGGTAGGATTTAGCAGAGTGTGTGCAAACCCTGACCTCTCATGGTAGCACTGAGACAAAAAAAAAAAAAAAAAAAAAATTAAAAATATTTAATACACAGTCTTCTGTGGTGGCCAAATTGAATTTGGAGTGTAAAGATCAGACCTTATTCCTGGGTGGCTTTATCTGCTTCGCCTTGGTTTTATGCCCAATTCATTCAGCAATTCTTCACTCCCAGAAGAGACACACTTATATACACAGATTTATTTTAAATAACTATACAAGATCTCATTACCAAATGCTGCTAGAATTAAAAATCGATACAGAGCCTCTCTGAACAGATGTATTTCTTAGAATTGTGTATGGATGGCAATACCACCACGTGCTCTGTTCTCCAGACACTGCAGGAATTGAAAATCAAAAGGAAGTCATAGCAGGAAGGCTAATAATTTGTTATTCATAATGTTCAAGGTATTATGGGTATTTACCATCAGACAAGAAGTTATTTGATGTCTTGTGCGTGCTCTGTGGTGGGAGGGGGGAAGAAAGCTTAGTAGACAAAGCCAAATCTGTTAAATTTATTTATTCTGTCTGTGGACCAGTCTAGCTGTGAGCATGTTACTTAACAATGTTCTTTGTCAGTCATGGGGATCGGAGAACCATGGGGATATACAGCAATAACAGCCTCATTCCAACAGAAAGGAACTCACACAACCAGCCAAGGTGTGCAGTTAAATCATGAACCTGCAGCCTCGTCTGACAAGGCTGGGGTTGCTCATGTTTGGCTGTGAATATCTGCTTCTCTTCCAGAGAAAACGATACAAGGCTCCGAAGACAAGGATGTCACAATCTCTGTGAGAGCCTAAAACCTGTAGTGCTTTATTTTTCTTTTAATACCTCTTCCCAAAGGTAAAGAACTATTTGGAATGAAGACTGAATGTGCATTTAAGCAGAATTCCAGATCATAAATAAATAAATAAATAAAAATATCTGCTGGCCAGGGGCAAAGAAATAAAGCAAATCTAGCTGGGTCAGGATGCTGTCAGTGTTTTAATGCCCACACACATACATTAGGTAAGCTTTCTTCCGAACTTCATTACTGCTCTCGAATTCCTTGAAAGAATTTTTATTCCTAGTGAGTGGTATTGTTGCCACTTTGCCTCATGAAACCAAAAATTGGAGTGATTCGGAATTTAAGTGGCAAAACATTCAGGGAAACGTTTATTGAAGTGCAGCTGCGAGGTCTATGCACGGAGATCAGCACGGTGGCTTGGCTCAGCTCATCTGTGTTATTTCAATTTTGGTTTTTTGGTCTTCCTTTTTCTTTTTTTTTGTGTGTGGAGACATCTTTATTTACCTGAAGAAAGCATATTGAAGCAGAGAGAAAAAGTATGGTCCAGTTTGGCACATACATGACTAACCCAGTTCCTGTGCTTGGTGCAGCAACACTTGATGCAGAACTGCCTGGTGAAGTCACCAGCAGTAGTGTCCCATGGATTTTCTTGAGGAAAAAAAAAGTGTCAGGAAAGATCCAGCCAGACACTTACCATTGCATTAAACCCATGGAAACAAATAACAAAAAGCAAAACCACAAAACAACAGCAACAAAAAAAATCAACCAAAAACCATACTTGTATTCTTGTTTTTCTAAAGCACAAGAACTGGGAGGTGAGAGATATTACTTCTTAATCCCACTTCTGCTCTAAAGATTCACAGACAGAAGGATCTGCCAGATGGGAGCTGATTTTTCTTCCACGAGTTGATGCTGTAGATGCCACACCAAGCCCAAATTTCCATTAAAAAACTGGATCATTACAGCAAACATTCTACAACAGCAGCAACACCTACTTCTGTCTGAATAGAAGTAAAAGACAAAATTAACCACAGCAGCAGGCAGAGCCAGCAAAACTCCTGGCAGTACAATGACACCTTCGTTATGCTCTCCTTAAAAAACAAAATTAATTAAAGAACATGATTAATGAAAGGATGAGTGACCACCTTTTTATTTTTTAAAAAAATGTCACTCAACTTCTCTCTCAGAAACTTTATGCTTTCTTCTCATGAAGCTGACCTTGTAATTTATGTTCCTTTTCCCAGATAAGTTACATAGAAGGAACAGTATTCAACAGTATTTGAGCCAGAATTTCAAGTTGCAAATGATAAAAGCAGCCTGTTCTGATTCAGTGTGATGAGCATAATGCAAAATGAGGAAGTTTTGCTTTTTTTTACATAGTCTTTTCCCTGCAGGACTTGCCTATCACATTACATAAAGATTTAGAAATACCCCAGCTTTCTGTTCAGCTGGAAGCCACAACAGAAGCCATTATTAAAGATACTTCAGTTTTTGGCAACGTTTGGGGTATTTTTTTCTTTCGTTACTCAACTGAACAGCTCTGCCAGACATGAGACCTCAAAATGTCATTTACATTTCATTTATTTAAACCAGCTTTACACCAACACAAAGCCACACAGGGCAAAGTGAAAACTCTCCAAAAAGGGGACCCAGAGCCAATATCTGGCCATTGATGCAATGGGTACCATCAGAAAGAGGTATGGGAACAGATACTGGGACAGACTCGTGCACTAAGAGAGCTAAAGAAGTTCTCCCTCTGAAAAAAAAAAAAAAGGAAAAAAACCAAGCCTGTTAACAATTAAATATCTTTACTTGTTACTTTTTGTGAGACGGCGCCTCATTTAACACTGGTTAATTAAAGAAGCTTTTCCTTGCAAGCAGAACTGAGCCCTGACTCTTTACTGCCAGTTATTGGGTGTTCAAAAGCATCTTTAAAAACTACCATGCACACTGATAGGCTCACACCATTTTTAAGGCTGGAAAAGATGATGGAGTTCAACCACAAACCATGGCCCCAGGTGCCACATGCTCAGGATTTTTTGACCACTCCCAGGGTGCTTCTGAGTGATCAGAAGCTATGTTGGTGGGAGAGTTTAAAATATTCTTACTCTTGTTTTGAATTTTAAAAATACCTCCTCTTTGAAGCAGTCATTCTATAAAGATGACTTGTATATGAGTTGTTAATGCTTTTCAAGTAATTGATAGGAAAAAAAAATAATACAGGGAGTTTGTGGTGGCAGGTGTGCACATGTAAAAATATTTCAGGAATACTAACAGCAGTATTTTGTTTTCTAGGAAGCCTGCTTGCCATTCTGTGCTTCAAAAAAACCATAAATATTTGTAAGGGGATTTTAATATTTAATACATATTACTAATATGTGCTTCTCTGGACAAAGTGATAACAAAACTGATGCAAATCATAAACATTAGTTAACTAATTGTTAACTTTCCACCACTTTGCTAGGCAGACCATTCCACCCCTCCAGTGAAGAAACTTTCCCTAATAACCAGTTTAAACCTTGCCTGGAGCTGCAGGGGGTTGTTGTGACCCAGCACCTGCCCTGGTTGTGCCTCACCCCATGGATCCAGCCTGTCCAGACCCCTCTGCAGAGCCCTCCTGCCCTCCAGAAGATCCTCACTCAAATTTAGTGTAATCTCCAAATTTACTGGGGGAACACTCCAGGCCAATGGAGAGAAATAATAACCAGAGCTCATCCCAACACAGCACAGATGATGATGACCCCTCACTAATCCACCCTGCAATTCCCACGTTCCAAACTTGGTTTCACATGCATTTCCACACGAGACTGCTCTGTCAAAAATCAATTTCACAAAACCAAGGGTTACATCTTGCAGTCCTTAAGTCCTGCATCTTTTGCTGGCAGCCTCTCCACACCTGCTTGAGCCAAGGCTGCAAAACACTCTTCCTCCTCCCTTTGGTGTTGAAAGGTTACAGAACCGATGGGAATTTTCTTTATTCTAAGTGTACCAAACACTTTCCCAGCAAAAGTTGTCAAAATGTTGATATTCTATGTACAACATGCCTCAGGAGCAACAACAAAACACACCACCCTCAAAAACAAGATGCTGCAGTTGCAGGGGAAAACAATGTCACATTTTCATTCCACAGCTTAAATTACTATGCAAAAATTGATAATAGTAAGTAATAAGCATATTACTTATTAATAAGTAATAAAAAGTAATAAATAATAAATAATAATAAGTAGTGAGACTTGCTTACCAATAATAACATTTTTTGTTCTGAAAGTGCAGAACAGCTACGAAAACTCACATCCAAGGGTTAGCTTTTAATTGCAGGAATATTCTATCACCCAATCAGCTTAAGCTGAAATGTGCCTTCCTTTACTGATGCCCCAAATGCAGCTTTTCTTTGGGGTTAATCACAGTGTTTTTATCACACAGAAATCCTGAATTTATGCAAACCCACCAAAAAGAAACCAGATCTGCCAAAGGCTCTGAGCAATAAATGCACACCAAGCAAAAACCTGAGATAAAATAGCTAACTTCTGCCATAAATCCTGTGATGGAGCTAGCTCAGTATTATAAATAATTAAGTGTCTGAGCTTTTCCTTGATGTTAACCACCACAGACCAGGAAAGGCTAAGTAAGTGTTCACATCCATCCCATACAATTTCCACTCCCTTTCTAAAAATCACCCATTATTACCAGTTGTCCTCTTTGGAACAGGGGCCCTAAAAGCTTTTATTCTCCATCAACTACTTGATTCCTTTGCCTGGAGAAAAATCCTTCATAGTTATAACATGGCCATTTCTGCAAAAGCATTTTTTTTTTAACCTGAAGTACAGATACTGCTTGCAGCGCATTATGAATATGAAACACAGTGTTTCACAGATAAAAAACATCCTTTTCAATCCAGAAACCCCCAAATTAGTATCAAAATGATACACTGATGAGACAAATTTTCATGGAAAAAAAATTTAAACCAAGATCAGCCTTTGAAGTTGAATCATTTATAGGAGAAAATTAATAATTAGCATCTGTTGAACAGAATCTGCATATTAATTTCTCTGCCCATATTTTGCTGTCTGTTTGGACAAATGTGATGTACATATGTAAATCATGGACAAGGAAATCCAAAGCAAAAAACAAACTTTAGCCCAAAACTGCTGTCAACAACACCACAAACTAATTATACCAGTTTTGACTACACTGGGGTTTTTATAATGAAC